GGNGAGAGAGGAGGGGGAAAGGAGGGGGAGGGGGAGAGGACCAGGGTGCCGGAACGAGCGGGGCCGACCCTGCGCGCAGCCTCCCCAGTCTACCCCGAAGATTCAGTCGTCGTGCGGCAGAGGAGGACCGAGGAACGCCCGGTCGAAGCACGCTGCTCTTCTCTCGATTGCTCGTCTCTCTTGCAACCCTCTCTGTTCCTCCGTTGGTCGGTCGGACGCACGCTCGTTGCCTCCCTTCGGTCGGTGCGGTGCGTGTGCTTCACTGCTTCACGAGTGAAAACGAGAAAAGCTACGAGGACGCTCTTGTGGCGTCCTGGTCTACGCAGCCACCACAAACTGTTACAGCAGATACGGTAAAATTTCCACGACACGAGGCGGAATATCGGGAAGGGAATAGGGCGAAACATGGGCAAGTCGGCGTGACAACCAACGAACGGCCAAGCGTTTCGATTCGATACTGCGCGAAATTCTGCAACATCGTTCCAACATCGACGCCGGTATCTGGGCTTGTCAACCTCTCGTCCACTTGTCTCCTTTGATTCTTCTTTCTTTCTCGCGTCTCCGTTCTTTCCTCTCTCTTTCGCGACACGACGCAAGGTGACGAGGGTGGACAGTGATATCGCTTGCCACGATACTTGATCGCAGTGGTGGTAGTGTTGCTTCGACGACGGTGGTAGTGGTAGTAGTAGTGGTGGTGGTGGTGGTGGTGGTGGTGGTGGTAGTGGTAGAGGTGGTTGTAGTGGTGGTTGTGATAGTGGTGGTGGCGGCGGCAATGATACTAGGGATGCTAGTGGTAGTGACGGTTTAAATTTCAGCCGCGTGCTCCGGTTCGCGTACGTGAGCCATTACACGGGTCCACGGGCTTTCTCGTCAACCTGGTAGGATATACGAGCGGCAGATTCATGATTCGCGGATGCAAATTTTGGCCCAACACTTCGAGTGGCTGCATAATTCTTTTCGCCGGTCAAGCGTTGATGACGAACGAACCCGACAACTTCTCCCGACTCACTGCCGCTTCTTTCGCACGAGCATTCCCGCCTGCGTGGACGCGCGTTTCTTTGGCATCCTATGGATTTTGCGTGTAACACGTTACTTCGAGACGATCTACAGAGTTCCTCCCTTCTTTCGCGTATGCGATCGAGTGAAGGATTCGATCGAACCGGTAAAAAAAGGAAAAAAAGAAAAAAGAAAAAAGAAAAAAAGAAAAAAAGAAACGAGGGATACATTCTGTTTCAATTGTGCTCGACCTCACGGTTCTTTCTCGAGTCGAATTCTCGCGATTCGATGCACGACTTCGATACGTGACGAGGCGAACAATCGGTCGCAAAGCTATCGCGATTCGAAATGACGAAAAGAAATTGGTGACGGGACGATAATCTCTTTGTCATCGTTGTATACGCGAGAATAGAAAGACGCGAGTTCCGTGAATCGTTTCGTGGGAAAAAGTCCGCTCGAATCATGCCTTCTCCGCGCCAAGAGACGGAGGAGAAAAACCAATATTTACGTCGCTATGATTTACGCCTCCAACTATTTTCCTCGCGATTCAAGAAGGATGGAACCGGTGGGGGAGGGAGGGGGAGGGGTTGGTAGATGAGAATCGTACCTCGTAGGCATTTCGTCGGACAAAGGTAGAACGTTGATCGCCTCCGAAATCGGTATTCAACGGGAGATTTTTTTTTCCCCACCAAGTGTACGTAGTACGATTTCAACGCTTTCTCCGCGCGAAATCTCTTCCTCGCAATGTGACAGAATGCCCGCAGCAAGTGATAATTTGTTCCAAGTAAAGTATGTATTTATATCACGAATCGTTCTCTCGTTCCTCTCGAACAGCGTAACGTTAAACTTTCACGTCGGGTCGGTAGTTTGTAAAAGTTTGATTACGCGAAACAACGTGATCGATCGCACAACAAGGCAGACGCTATCATAGACGAAAACGAAGGAAGCTCGGGAAGAGGTAAAACGGGGGTTCTATCTCTTTGGCAGAGAGGGCGAGTACGTGGTTGGCCGGCGTTCACGGCGAATACACGTATCGTTGGAAAGCTTGTTACATTAGACGCGAGTACAGAAGTATCGGCGGAGTGAAGCGACGCTTCTCCTTTCCCTTTACCCTGCAATCAGTCGGAGCATTGAGCGGCGGCGAAGAAAACGTAAATACGCTGTAAACATTACCGGATCCTCCGATATCGGTTCCACGCGATGCATCTTCTCTTTTCCCAAGAAGGCAAAAAAAAAGAATGGACAAACGGCTCGTGTGTCGCACGCACATATCGTGTACACATCCTATATCGTATACGTATACGTCTGGCAGGTTTGCATTATGGAAATCCTGCGGACTTTACGACTTTTCGAAGATATCGCGTACATTTCCTTATCTCGGTTTAAGGCTCTCCGGGAAACGTTTATCTCCGTGGCGTAAAGAGGATAGATAGACTCCGTAAAATCGGCAATGATCTCACTCCGCGTGCTACCCCCTATACCTCTATACCCTCCCTTATTCTTCTCCGTGAAATATTTATATTCTTCGGGAAGGGAAAGGTCGGCGAAGAGGGAATTTTTCGATGGAAACGCGGACAATTGTAGGATTCACGGCCACACGACAAGCAGCAGATTCTCTCTCTTTTCTCGGTTTTCCATGGATTCCATGTCGCGGACGAGATGCTTATTCCCATTGCCATTCGATCGCGCGGGAATGAATATCGGTAACCGTGGGACAGACGCAGGGTCGATGCTTTTCCGTTGTACTCGATTCTTTCTCGTTGAATGGAAATGCTTCACTATATTTTTTTTCTTCTTCTTTTTATTTCTCTCTTTTTTCTCTCTTTTTCTCTTTTTCGTTCTAGCGTTGGGCGTCGTGTCGGAACGAAGCATCGAAGAGAACACGAGTTGGAAGGAGAGGAGAAGGGGATGAGAAAAATATGACTCGTCGATCCAACTTCTTCCTTCATTTTTTTGTCAACCAGCCGAGGGGGGAATCGTGGACCGTGTCGAACGTCGGCCGTTGCAAATGAGATTCGTAGGAATCGAAACGCGAGCACTACCGTAGCAAGATCGAGCGTCCAAGTCCAACCAACACTTTCTTCTTTCACTTGCCACTTTTGGCAAGAAACTCGTTCGCGGCTTGAAAGTATATACGATAGCGAAAGAAAAACGAAAGAAGAATGCGAAAGAGAGAAGGAGAAGGAGGAGGGGTTGAGGAAGAAAACGGAGAGACGAAGGTGGCAAGTCCCAGATTAACTAGCTTGTTTAAATGTTTATTCTGTCGGTCGGAAAACTCTTTTTCTTCGTTCGAAGTGGAATTCGGAATCGATCGAGGGGAAAAAAAAATCCGCTCGCGTTCCCTGGCGTTATCGTTATCAAGAGGAAGCTTGAGGTTTTTTCAACGGATTTAAATGCTCGTCGATCCTCGCGGAAAATAAACAGGAACGTTAGCTTTCGCCGTGGCATAATAAAAGGTTTACAATTTCCGCGCCGTGTTCTCGAATCTTTTTCGACGCGTCACTTTACAGAGAGGAAAAAAAGAGAAAGAGAGAGAGAGGAAAAAGAAAAAGCGCAAAAGTGTCGTTGAACGCGAGCGGATTCCTCTTCGAAAGATGAAATTTCAATCGTGTATCTCTAGATACTACAAATATCGTTGCTTTGAACACGCGGACGTGTCCGATCGAGAACAATGAATTAGACAACGGTTGGTTGAACTTCAAAAGCGCGTTAAAAGTTTCGATGTTTCTCGTCTCTCTCTCTCTCTCTTTCTCTCTTTATAAAACATTCCATTCGCGGATGAACGTCTTTGGAGAAGGAACTCCGGAGTCTGGCCAACAGACTCGGTTCGAAAGAAGTCTCGTTAAAGAGGCAAATTGGACGATGCCTGTTCCGTGAAGCCACGACAAAAACAGGGTGTCTTGGACCGTCGAGTGTCTCGCGAACGAGCGTAGCGAATCGGCGGCTGGTCGATACAGTCGAATCGAGAGAGTCGAAGCGTACGATACACGTCGCGTAAATCGAAAGTCGTTCCGCTGATTAAACGGTGGCAAAGCGAACGTAGGTGTCTCGTTTTACAATCGTGGCCCGATATCCTTTCAGGAAGGTGGGGATTCACCGGCGCAGGAAACGAGGAGCGTACGTGCACGATGCCAGCCAGGACCACGTCAAAGGATAGAACGCAGCCAGAAGCGAGAGGAACGTCATCGGCCCGATACTCGAAGCAGGAAAATCACCGTTCCATTTTACACTTTTATACGAAACGAGCTACTACAACGACCAACGTTTCCGCGTTGTTCCGGCCTGACGGTGTCTTTTGATTCGGTGCCCGAAAATAGCAACGCACACCGAGAGATAGAGAGGAGAGTGGTGAATGGTCGACTAAAAGCGAGCGTTGGCAACGGAACGAAACATCGGGACGACGTCGAGAAACCGTGCCGCTTCATTCGTCGACGTCGGCATCGGCGAATCAACGTCCAACGTGGTGAACGACGATACGGATTCGAGCCTCGTACGAGCCCCTTCCCCCCTCCCCACCCCCGTTACCTCGTACTGTGCGCGTGACGAACGACGCCTCGAAATGGATGGAGAAAAGTACGGTTCGAATCTTAATCGGCTTGTAAATAGTCTATCGTAATTCCTCTCGCGTGGACCCGAGATATCCATCTAAGTGGCGTTATCCCCAGTTGCCTCGTTTCTTAGCGTACGCAAACTTTCTTCCCTCTCACGAACGAAAACCGGATCACGGAGGAAACGGTGTCCAATACGGGAGGATATAGAGTCGTGCGATATTTCGATTGAAAATATATATATATATATACAGAGAGAGAGAGAGAGAGAAGAAAAAGGATAAAAAGAAGACGTCGAGAGAGGAGCCTAATGTTTCTCAACGACATGGGGCTGTTAATGTTCTTAGCACTAACGGCCTCCCTCCTCTTGGGTTATTGCCAAACGGATGAAAAAGGTAATGTATAGACGTCCTCTTGAACGGTGACGAAAGAAAGCCGCGGTTCGCTTTCGTCCGTTGCCGTCGCGCGCGATCGTAAATCCAGGGATGCGCGATGGAAAACCAGCAAACACCGACAGAGATTAACTTTTATGGAACGAATGCTCGCCGCGAATGTACTTATATCACCGATATCCGACCCTCTTCTTTTCAATAACTCGACCCGACCATCCACCATTGGACCATTGGACCGTTTTTAATAACCAACGAAAACGGCGCGAGTCGTAAACACGGTTCGGCGGCGGTATCACGATCGCTCGATCCAACACGCAACACGATCCCTGGATTCACGACGCTTCCCCTAAATCCTTTTTACGACGATCCTCGCGTCAAATATGAACGATCGTCGGCATTTCGCTCACCTATGATGGAATTCTGAACTAGAAAATGGACGCGTACTTTCTCGTTCTTTCATAACGTCTCGAATAATGGAAGAATTTCAATTGTCATTGATTCGAAAAAGAAAGATAGAGGAAAAGAGAAATATTACTTTTGATCGTGGGAAAAATGTTCGTTTCGATTCGTTCTTTTTTTATCAATTAGATTTATATATAGTATCGCATAACGGGGATGTAAGAGTGAGTAGCTGTTTTATCGTGGCTCGATATTAAAGTAAACGTAACGTAGGAAATACAGGAAGGTTAATTACAAATATTAATTACGAAATTAACATCGTTCGTTCCATGAACGAGTACGAGTATATATAAATCGGGATGTGAAGAATTAATATAGCGATACGAGACGCGGTTCGATCATCTCGCAGTGCATCGACGTAGATGAAATACGAAAATACGACATGTGCAGATGCGTTTTCGATCATCTGTAATTGCTGTGATACAGGCTCGCGGTTCTTCGATTTCCCTCTCACGTCCGTGTCTATTTATTCTCCGGGATGTCGTCTTTTCATTTCATTTCCGTTCCAACGTTTCGGTTTTAATGGGTTCGATACATGGAGATAGGGGACACGCGATAGCTTGCCGAATCGAAATAGGAAATCGTTCGCTCTTTCAGGAAGTTTGTCTTTAACGACGAAAGTGAGATTAAACCAAGTGCGAAAGAGAACAAGAATGATCGAGGCTTGAATCGAGATTTTTTTCTTTTTTCTTTTTTTTCTTTTTAAATCGAAGAAAGAATATTCCGCAATGATCCGAGTAAAAAGACGAAGCTACATTTGCCTATATTCGTTAAACTTACCACGCGTCCCTATCGTCTCCATGTGTCGATAAAACGAATTAATCCTTCCATCGATTGTACGACGTTCGAAACAAACTACGAACTTGACCGATTACGAGATTGGAAAAAAAAAAAAAAATCTCTAGAGAAAGGCCTCGCGAGTTTGCGTATAACCGCTAATATCCGCGAGTTTATCAATTTTAGATAAACTACGTTACTCGTTTCATAACTTGATACGAGTATCCGGCCGAGAAAGAAACGAAGAAACGATAGATGGATAAAAGAGTTTTGCTATCGAGCGACGTAATCAGTTTTTCATTTAGCCGGCTAATCCATCGTTTAGCGTAGACTCCGCGTGTTGGAACGATCAAATTATACGAGGTAGAAACTTTTATCCCACGCTCGAAAAACAATTACCTGTTATTTTTCGTTGTAACCGAGTCGAAAATGGAATTTATCGGTATCAATTTTACATAAACCATTCTTGATTTCCCGGCTTCGTATTTCTGTAATAGGTGAACGTCGAGGGCAATCTAACCAAGCATCGAAATACCATGATGGAAATAGCAATGGCAACACGAGTTTAATCAATTCCCGTTTATCTCGCGTTCCATTTCTCTAATCCATCATTTCGCTCGCAAATTAATGCTTCGTCGACATCGCGCGGTTCAAAAGCGGTCGTTTTTCGAACAATCGAAGGCTTTCTCAGCCAAAAGGAGGCGGGGGCATATTGACAAATTTTGTTAATTAAACGCGACTAGCCTGTTTACCGATCGGGGACACGATACGAAATCGCATCGATTCGCGCAAATCGTTTGATACGATGAAACCGAAGCCGTCTTAATCCACCTCGTTTCTCTGTCTCGTGTTTCATTGAAAAAGGGAATTTGTCGACGCGATAAAAACGCAAGTCACGACACAAGGCCAATATCACTCTGCTACTCGTCTTTCCGTTCATCCAGCTAATCTGTCCTTTATAGGCTATAGTTGTTCGCTCCAAATTTCGAATCGGAGACGCGCATATACACGGGAACGAAGCGAAATCAAATTGCGGAAAACATTTCGCGCACTTTCTCATCTTGGATCGCGACAGGATTACTTTGACGAAAACAAGATGAACGCGATGCTGAACGTTTCGCTATATATACGTAACACGAAAGAAAAATTTGGGAGAAAAGAGAAGCGCGAATCGGGATATTTCCGCGAAACGTCTGACGTCAAGTAGTTAAGAACAGCATTTATTGGTCAGATGTGGGGGATAGCTTTGAGAAACGTTGCCCCGAAGCGACTAATTTGGCCATTTCCGTGCTCTATTATCTCGATAATTAGCGATCGATGAACATTTCCGATAGGAGAAAATCTGCTTGTAATTGGTTAAGGACCTCGACCTCGTTATTTCTGGATTGTGCTCGGTAAACGTGAACAAATTGCGTGTATGTGAAGAAAAAAAGAAAAGAAAAGGAAAAAAAAAAGGAAAAAGAAAAGACGAAAGCTTGGATTACCCGTTTCAATCCTAGAGTGTCATCGCCATACTGTCTCTAATACTAATCGAAGTAAGTACATTTAACCTCGATAGAGAAGCTATGCGTGGATACACGAACACAGATACAAACGTTATGGCCTGTATCGTGAACCGAGGATTCCCGTAAACAGGTGAAGCCGGGTTCTATAACCGTATAGAACACTCGTCCCAAATCGATTCCATCGATTCGCGGTTGACGTTAATGTTTCCATGTCCCCCGTTCCACGATGTTGCGTCGATAGAATAAAAATAATAAAAGGAGGGGAACGGAGAAAGATGAAAGAACGAAGCTGGATGGAAGAGATAAAGAAGATAGCGCGTAGTTAATGATCCGTACGATTATTCCACGTATTCGTCGAACGCTTTCCAAGATCATTTACACGCCTCTGGGAAATAAACTCTTTACCAACGTTCGACACACGCGCTTGTCCGATTTCTCGGTATACAGTTTGAGACGCGAGATCTCTTCTTCAACGGTCTTTTAAAGGAGTTGAAGTCGCTCATTCATCGGTCTTGCCAAGCTTTTCAATCGCTTACTGTGCTTTATTTCCTTTTCTTTCCTCTTCCTTTTCTCTTTATTACGTTGATTTCTTTCTGTGTCTGTTCGACACGGTCGATATCAGTATATCAACCGATGGGAAATATTGAACCATACCTTCATAACGATCGACGAAACGTCAATTAAATTCTGCGTCTCTGCGTCGTTCGTTTATTTATCGCCACTGTTTTTTCTCCTTGTTATTTTGATTTCCGTAAAATTCTCGATATTTTCGCGAGATATAGTTACGAGGTATACTGAATTAAACAGGTAAAGGTCCATTTGGATTACGGATGCAATCGTGCGGCGAATAAATATTTCATATCGATAAAAATTACACGATCATTTTATTCACGGTCAAGCGGTGAATAATTTACAGCACGCGCTATTACGGTACACTCATCAAGGCTAATGAATTATATGAAAATCTGTACGATTCAGGATAAATGGAACCGTTTAAGCTAAAAGAAACAAGAAGACGAGAGTTCAAAATTTTTCTAGCGAAATATCTAGAATAATTCTTAGCTCTTGCTAAAGAATTCAAAATATGCGAAATTTATCTCAACTGAACGTATTATGATACAGAATATATTTAAAAGAGAAAAAAAAAAAATTGAAACATTAAAAGCCTAGCAAAAGTCAATAAATCTGAACGTAAAGTTGATTAAATCTCGAGAAATTAAATCGCTTAAGTAAATATCTATAATATCGAACGATGCGTAAACATTGCATCGATAAAAAAAACGTACACACGATAAAATATATATTGTATAATTAATACATAAATGCACATAATTGCCACGAAAGATCATCCTTTAAATGATCACGATCTTGATGACTTTTAAAAAATCTTGAAATCAAAAACAATTTTACTTCAATAATCTCATATTACTTTTAAATAACTTTATATCAGAAAAAAAAAAACGATTAATATTTTCTCACGATTTTTTTTCCCTTTTTTCTTTTTACCTCTTTCTATTTTAAATATCTCTGAAAATCGATTTATAAAAACCGAATCATGACAATAATCCTCCGTGGTAATTTTCCTTGGCAATGATTTACGAGTCGTTAATGCATTTGCAAAAAAATATCCGAGATCGCGTACGCCTCATTTTAAATATAGAAATATCGATAGCGGATGGAGATTTATTCCTTCCCATGAATATTTTCAAAGTGCATAGCACTTTTTAGATAGTCCAAAGAAACGTGCAAATTTATACGTATACGTTCATATTTCGCGCATCGATGGCCGAGCAATTGCGTCACGGAGGAACAATAAATTTTTCAAATTTATTACAGTGTCATTTTACGGAGCGAGCTACATTCATCTTCCGGTGCAAGAAGCTAAGGGTGCGACTGACATCAGCTTCCGGTTCCGAACTCATCTCGCGGACGCTATGCTGCTACTGGCCGTTGGCAGGACGGATTACTGCCTGATCAAACTCGAAACCGGCAAATTGAAGGTTCGTTTGCCCTCAATGCTTACTTCTATTAATAGGCTTTCTGTTTGGGTCTTCGTGGTCGCTGGTCGTTAACCAACCGCACGTGCTATAGTTCGACGCGACAGTCAGCACAACCCCCCCCCCCTTCCTTCTCTCTCTCTCATCCTAACTCTCTTTTTCATCTCCTCATCCACGAGCAATCTTTCTACAGCACGAGCTATCCTTGCTAAGAAATTAGGCTTGCTTTGAAACATTAAGAAAAAAGAAACTCGAGAGAGGGGAAAAAAAAAAGGAGGAGAGAAAAGCAAGACGAGTTGGAGCACGCGAGTATGGATGATATAAAAAAGAGGGAAAAAATAGAAGAGAAAGAGAAATGATTTTCAGACACGCGGCTAACGACCACGTTCTCCACAGCTCGATTTTATAACTTCGATAAAAACCGTGTCGTGATTTTAACAACATCACGTCGTTGCCCCGCTTTATTCGAGCCATTAAAACTCTGCAAGTAAAAACATCTTATTTATGTATGCGGATGCTCGTGAGAATCACGAGAAATGGTAAAACAAGGTAGATCGACACGTTTCACCGAATATACATAATAGAATTTATGAAAAGAAAAAGGAAAAGAGGCGATAAATTTTTTTTATTCACTTTTCCCTTTTGCACACACACTTTCTCTCTTTCTCTCTATTTCTCCGTGTCTCTTTCTTTTCAACTAAATAAAAAACGTTTGTAAATTTCACTCGAGCAAAGTTAACGCTTCCCTTTGATTTCGTTTAAATCATTTCCGTTTTAAATTCTATCTAAATCAACGATCCAGCCATCAAAGAGAAACCAATAATAATAAGTTTCGGTGTAAACTTTTACGTAAAATACACGGCTACGATTCCATTTTATTTTATTATTTTTAATAATTCTTCAAGTAACAATTGCGTCGAAACGATTGTTACGTATAGACGTAGAAATAAATATAACACGTTCCTATCTATCGATCGACCTTTTACAGGAGGAACAATTTTTGTTACATGTCTGAAAAATACAATACAGATGGACTTTTTTTAATTGAATTAAATATGACACGTTCAAATTTAATTTTTGTACACGAGCCTCGATATGAAATAAAAACTTTATAATTTATTTCAAAGTAACGTTGGCTGTAAATTGCTGTGAAAAATTCTATTTGCGAATAAACATGAAAACTGTTCATGCATAATTGTCGCCAATGCGTGATCGAATTTAAATTTTTAAAATAGTCGCTCTCTACGTTCGTGTAAAAAATTCGAATACTGATCTTTCTCTGTAAAAATCGAATAATCGTTACGTTTTACAATTTTTTATTCGCGCGCAAGCTTTTCCCAAAGTTTTCAAATCCTCTTGTCAAATCCAAATTATTTATCGTAATTTATCGTTTCGTCAATTGTCCGAGGAACAAAGAATCTTTAATATTTTTATCCGAATTAATAAGGTCAGATACATACAAGCATCATCGTTGTAATTCTATTGTTGTGACAGGTCTCTGTTTACAATGACGCAACGCGTATACGATCTTGCGATTTCCCTATGAAAACTATACTACAAAGGTTTTAAACCGACATCCACAAACGAAAGATGCAAATCCACAAACGAAAAGATGCAAATCCACGCGTTGCTCGTCTGTGCTGCTCTATATCAGTATGTTCCAACTTCCTTTTGCAATATTTAAATAATTAATGTTCCACGTATTCGTTAATAAGTAACGAAAAAAATTAACAGGATTTTATCGCAAAAAGCAGAAACACGACTAGCTGGCCTTTTGAGTTAAGTTAGAGAGACGATTATCTCTGATATTCCTGCAAAATATATGAACGAATTAAAATAAATAAATACTAAAATTCATTAACTAAAAATATAGCGACCAGCATCCGTCCACCAAGATCTACCGATCCATGTTAAGGCTAGTTGCAAACGATCAACGTGACACGCTATTCCGATCTCGCAGTGGTTATCGCACGTGTGCATTTTGGATCGTTATAAAAAATAGGAACGTGAACCTGTCGAACTTGACAACATCACTAGGGTAGAATCGCAACAATATCATCTGCACCTGATCTGAAATCAATTCCAACCGCGATTTTAATTTGACATCGGTCTCTTTCGGATGTTTTCGATTCAAAAGAAAAAAAAAAAAAAAAAAAAAAAGGAAAAAAAAAGAAAAGAAAAGAAAAAAAAAGAAAAAAAAAAGAAAAAAATTGTTTCGATGAAATAAGATGGTTCAGGTATGAATTCTCGGTGCACGTATTAACAAGCACGGTTATAAACGATCGCCGGTGATACCGTGACGTCGGCCCGAAACGAACACTCGTTGGAGCAGAATTAAACGACACCATCGAGCGTACCCGGTTGCATTACGAAGAACAACGACGCACGGGGGACAAGCAAGCCCAGATGGGCCACTTTGCTCTTAGATAGTAATCGTCGTCGAGCTCTAGTTACAAATTACGAATTCGTGAGAAGAATCGGTGGTGTACAGGGCATAGGTACAACACACAACGTCGCGGAATACGCTATCGTTCATAAGTATCGCGATATTTCGCTGTATTTGTGGCAATAATATATTCGAATTTTACCAAAGTATAGAAACGAAGGATGAGATTGAATTTATTATCTTATTATAAAGTCAATAGACCAATAATTAACATTATTTGCGATAAAATTTAACAGCAACACGCGAGTTGATTAGAATCAAATTCATGATTCGTCGATGTACGCGATGTAGTAGTCTGTTCGATAATTAGATAATTTATATATATTATTACATACACACTGATAATTACAGATCGCGTAAATTCACGAGAAATATGATTCCTCAAATAACAAAAGAATTCTCTTCGTTATTCAAATTAATAATTAATGATGCAACGTTGATACAAACATTCGTACCAATTACGAAGAATAAAATTATTGCGGATCCTTTTATACGTAATTTCGAAATTAAAATAAATCTTGTTCGAAATAAACATACTTTCGAGCGAAGTAGCGCGTACGTGCAACTTCGTTACGCTAAATAGGAACCGGTTGTTTATCGGGATGCTTATTACGATTAATTCGAATATATTATATCCGATGGTCGCGTTCATAAAACGACGAACGACGGTCGATAAGTGGATGTAAACACGAATCCCTGAAACATTTACAAAGTGCTCGCTATTAATCGGTCGTTGATGATTATTGTTATTTCGCCTTTGACTCCGGTGTATTCATATTCTTTGATAAAAATTTACAATCCTTGAACCGATGACGCGTATTTTCTTGATCGAACGCTTTAAGACGACTGATATTAATTTCAATGAACGAGATTAGTCTCAACTCAATTTCGTGAATTTCACCGTTTCATTAATGCGATCGATGCATAAATAGATTCGAGTGGAATCTAAACTCGAAATAAGTTTGCTGATAATGAATCTTCCAAGTTGCTAGATTGCTAGATTATCGATCTTTTGTGAAATAAAGAATAATCGAAAGTTGTGAAACGTAACTTTTTAATCGAGAAACTCAAATAAACGATAACCATAACCAACGAAATATAATCGAGCAAATATTCTTCGAACCTTTAATTCGATTCGGTCTAATTCAGTAACGAAGAAAAAAAAACGGTGGAAAACGCTAGATCGCGAACACTAATAAATCCAAAAAAAAAAAAAAAATTAGCAGACCAATCAGCCTATTCAACTGATCGAGAAAAACCTCGGCAATTGATATAATTCGACTAAAAATCTGGAACATGGTGGAACTAGTTCCCTCCCAAAGACATCTTAAATCTTTCGAAAAATCGAGAAAATTACAGAGCAACCGATTTTATCCGATGCCATCCGAGATGATTAATAAGAGAACGTAACATAGCGGAACTATTATTCGGAAAATTCAGATCGTTTTTCTTTTGATCGTAAGACGAAGACCAGGTGTAATCCAGTATCGCGATAGAGTGTTAAAACATCGTCTAAGTGCATTAGGGCGCGAGGAAAATGCCGTTTCTCACTGGATCCCAAAGATCCAGAGTGAAAACCGCGCGAATCTAATTTCGCGAAGGGTTAAGTCCACAGGTCGAACCATGAGAAGACGGGTGGGTGTCTGTCTGAGCTTAATTAAATTTGTTAAGAAGATCGTTAAGGAGGATGAGAAGGGGGATAAACGGGCGGGCAAAAAGTGCAATGGAATCGTTTCAACGTCTCGTGTGCCTGTCGAGCCACGTCTCTCCCGCACCGGTTTTATCCGCTTAAAACCTTTTCCATCTTCCCAATTATTCTATTATTCGGAAGTTCGGACTCGCCAACGAGAGGTATCGTTTCACCAACGCGTTGAATTCAACGCGGAAACGTTTATTTTATTACGCGATGCAATATTTTGTTTACCGTCAAATCGTAAAATGTTTATCAATTTAATCAAACGCAAATCGCATTATATACAAAATTCGAAACAACAATTCGTCCGATCAAATGCGTACAATTTTTTCGACAATTTCGAAAAAAAAGAGAAATGTCTTTTTCTTTATCAATTGCAATCGATCGATCGAATATTTGTCATTGTTCGCTTTCCAATCAACGATGGTGCATCGATAATGCCTGACCGTCCCGGTGTCTTCGACCTTCGAAACGTATAAATTCGCGTTTACACTCGACGAAGTGTCGTGTCTCTCGCGCTTATACATATTAATGGGATCCTGCATAGTCATCGGACATTGCGCTACTATCGGGGTGAACTTGCAACTCGCAAAAGCTCACGCCTTTATTACGAAATCGATCGGAGAACGGCGGGAGAAGAGGCCGTCTAAAGCGAAGTCGATGCTACGGATCGGCCTCGATGCCAATCGCGCCTCTCTCTCTCTCTCTCTATTATTCCTCTCTC